GGCCAAAATGTATTCTGTTACATGTCTTTGCTAAAAAAAATCCCAATTCATGTAAATTTTTTACTAGTAATGGCAGCGATCAGCAACTTATAGTGGAACTGCGGGACTGCAGTGGGCATTCTGACACTGGGGGGAACTGACTTGGTGTCACTGACATCCCCAGTGACACCAATACAGTGATCAGTGCTAAAAAAAAAAGCACTGACACTGTACTAATGGCACAGGGCATGAAGGGGTTAGCATGAGGGTGATCAAAGGGTTAACTGTGTGCTGTATGCTGTTTTACTGGCTGTGCACAGCCATGCAAAGCAGTGTGCACAAGCTGACAGTTGTGCACAGTTCTCCTCCCCATCGGAAATGCTCACTGGGCGCCGACGGGTAATCACTGGCTGGGACCCAGTGATTGACAGCCGTGGCCGCAAAAGGAGGCGTGGGTTGGGCGCATGCGCGCCTCATACCCGGAAATGTAAAATTTGCGCACATGCGCCACCCTGTAGCAGTATTTCTGCTATAGGGCGGTTTGGAAGCAGTTAAATAAATGTGGGTTGGCAGGCATTATGATTGAAGATGAATTTATAATGAGGGCCTTTTTTGGGATTTTAATTTTTTTAATAAACATTTGAATGTCTAAGTTACCCTTTTTTGGGTTCTATGTACCTCTTACTCTTTCATGTGGGGGGGGGACAGTATCTGGGGGCTACCTTATTTTTCAAGCCCCACCCAAAGCCCCACACCAGCATTGGCCAGGGTTGTGGGGAAGAGACCATTGTCCTCATTAACATGGGCATTAAGCGTTTTGCCATTGTGTCCCCCCTGGCAAGGTTTCTCCTTATATTGAGGGTATGCAGCCTGGTTGGCATGCTGGCCGGCTGTAGGAGTTGCTGCAGAAAATGTGATAGTAACAAAAAAAAACTGCTAACAAATTGCATTTAATTGTCAGCTGCTATTAAAAAACACACACACAGAGACCCCTCCAAAGGTTCACTAAATATTTTGCAGGACCTTTTGAGGGGTCTGTGTGCCATTCTTTTAAATAGAAGCCAGAAAGGAAATGTAATTTGTGGCAAATTAAAACCAGTTTCATTTGTAAGTATCTATACTTTTTTGCACTGGTACATGTTCCCCATGGCTAAGCCAACCCCCCTCCCCCATGCTATATTTGACAAGCTTTGCCTATTAGCCAAGTAAATTACCATTTTTGGTTTAACAGATTCAGTTCTTATTCATTTCAATGGGGTTCGGGTTCAGCATCCAAATCTCTGCAGTTTGCCGAACCCTGCATCTGACCACCTCTAGCTGACTAGAGACAGGAGGAAAACAAACAACTATTTTCTTATTGAAGAGTATAATGTTTGATGTCTGAAATGTAATACTTTCTTGTTACAATGAATTCTTGTAGTCCATTTGCTTACTCAGGTTATATTACACATTGCTTCTCCTAGACCCTGAAGCAGAGAACTATCTGCGTAATATTTCTGTATTTCTCTCCCTTTTTTAAATAGCTTTTGCCTATACACGTCTTTTGTAGCCTTTGTGTATGTTATTGATCACTCACCTTTTTTGGAATATTTAATATAACACTAATTAACCTCAAATTCCATTCTTCTAAAATAAATACAAATTTGAAAAGGCAGAGAAAGCCTGTTGTAGTATGTCCATTTTAGCTCATTTACAGTGGAACTAAACCTACTGATTTAAAGTGGTTGTAAACCTCAGACATGAAATATGAACAAAGCATATCCCTCTATAGTGTGTACTTGTCTCAAGCATTAAGAGCACTAAGTGTTATTTCTGTCTGCTGTTTTCATTCCTCTACTATCAACATGAATCACTCCTGACAAGTTTTCCTGATGCCAAGAGAAAAAAAGGTGACAGGGAAAGGATCCCCAATGCACAGTCTGTGGTTGACAGCTTCAACTCTGCTCCTGTGTGCTGTGTGAAAGGGGGGGGGGGGGGGTGTCCCTTCCCTCCAATCAGCTCTCAGAGCTTTGCTCACTGAGCGCTGCAGTGTGTATTTCAGCTATCTGCCCCCTGTTTTCTGAAAGCTCAGACAAGCTTTATAAATTCTGGATTTTAAACTGATGTAGAGAAGAGAAGACTGCAGATAAACAGGAACACCTTATGTAGGAGGATTTGTTTAATCTCTGTGTATCAACTGAGGCCAGTCACTTCACTGGCTATATGTAAGGGTTTACAACCAATTTAACTGTTTCCCAAAACAGATACATTCAGTGGATTCCTTGCGTCAGAACTGTTAAAGTTACTCATGTGCTTATGTTAGTTTTCAACTGAACTGTCAAGCCATAAAATGACTTGTATTATAGCTGATCACATGTGCAAAACCATGGCAACTGCAGATCAAACAGTAGCTAAAGATGGCAGCTTCCTTGGTTGTAAAGGATAGGAGGGTTTCGTTCTGCTTTAAGCCGCATGTGTGTTTGAAAACACCTGCATACTAGCCTGCAATCTACTGGAAAATAGAGTTTTCTGACTGTCAGTGTTGGGTCTCTTTCAAACCTGCAAGCTGGCAATGAGGGCAACCTTGGTGTTTTCACGTGTGTGTATAGGAGAAATCATTTTCTTGCATTTATTGGCCAGCATATTGGAGGCATTTTTAAAATCGCAACTTTCTTATTTATCCTTTTTTCTTTCTCTTTTCTTGTACCTGTGACAAGTAGCTTCAAAGTAGAAAAGAATTGTATTGTGTTATTTTTCAGGGAAATTTGTTATTGATTCTTTCATAGGCAAAAAAAAAGTTGCGCAATTGAACAAACCAAGAAAATACAGTGAAAACCATGTATCCACTCATTAAGGCCCCTTTCAGATGGGGTGGACCTGCCAGCGGATCCATTTGCTCAGTGGGAAATCTCTCCACTTATCCCTGCTGAGCAAGCAGATGACAGGTCTGTGTTCGCTCCACTGCTACTTTTTCCTATGGGGCGATTGGATGGAAACGCACCACCCATCCGTTTCCACCCAACCGATCCGCCGGATAGATGGGGAATGGATCCCCATCTGTCTATTTTTGGTGTACAGGATGGGATCGGATGCCAGCGGGTGTCAGTGGATACTTGTGCACTGACATCCGCCGGTCCATAGAGGTCTATGGATGATCCGATCAGGTCTGGCTAACAAACTGACAGGTGGACACAATTGGACTGTCAGTGTGGGGCCTAAAGTATTTCCATACAATAAATCAACAGTTGAACATATGTTTAATTGTATAATAAACATACACACAGTCATCAGCAATGTTTATTCCTTGTGGCAACCCAAATAAATATCAGATGAGCCAGAATGTGCACACTATAAATAGATATAATGGATAATCATAACACGATATTGACAGCAGTATTATATTTTACTTATTACTCCGCAGAGTATTATTTGTGAACAGACATTATTATAAACAGACAGTATATAAGGTAAGCCAGTATTGTGGATTGTGTTTCCAGCCAGGGGAACCAAAGCTTGTCAAATCTTTTGGGGCAGCCTCAGGCCTCGTACATTACCCTATACATGGGAATCACATTGGTTCAAGGTGGGGGGGGGTCTTGAGATTTCCAATGAATTGTTGAAATGTATTGTGTTAGTCAGATAGCAAGAGAAAATTAAAAATGTAGGTGAAACATTTGGAAGTATATTTCAGAAGGCAGCATTGGAAAAAACACACTGTTCTCTTTGTCAGACATGGTGGTCTTTGATGCCTACTGTATTTGTGCACATATAGAAATATGATTTCTGAGTAATTTTATGGAATCATGCCCAATAAAGAGAACTGAGGATTTCTGAAAGCTTGCATCTCAAAATTTACTCAGCCGTAAGAGAATATCAACCAATGTGTGAAAATAAAAATATAATAATTAATATAATATGACCACAAATAATAGTGCTCACAAAAATAAATAAATATTAAACATACTATTAAATTAATACCACCACCAAAAAAAATGTGTGTGTAAAAAAAATAATTAAATAAATAAATATTCATTCGTTGGATCCTCTTAAAGTCCATTCAATAAAGTCCACATATCAATAATATATATGATCTTCAATCAAAAGTTAAAGAATCGTCCTTCACCGATATATACTCCAGTGCTCAACACCCCATCAAAATGCAAACTCACCAGATACTGGTGAAAAATCAGCATGTCTTTGTACACTCAATGATTGTGATACACTCCACAGCTTAGCTCTCTCCAGCTGAAAGATCCCATATACTCCACAGATCACATGTGAATAGAATAAATAAACAACACTCGCAATAGTATAATAACGTTTGAAACTATTTATTTCCAAGCAACCCCCATAAAACCGCACTCACATTATGTCAGTACAAAATAAGCATTTGGTTTAAAATCTTTCACAGCAATCTTTCTTATCTCAGTGCTCCCTGCTCCTACAGTGGCATCTCACCAGCCTGCAAAGATGGCATTGTTGCAGTCACGTGGTCCAGACACGTGACACGAAGTTCGTGATGATGTCACTGCTTGATCACGCCCTAACGCATTTCGTCACACAACTTCGTCCGAGGGTGTGATCAGCAGTGAGTGGCAAGAGCTCATATAGAACCGCCCACCTTCTCATTGGTCAATTAGATAAACAACACCTGAATACTATTTAACTAGTTGCCGACCGCAGATAGCCGAATGGCGGCTAAACTGCGGCCGGCCAGTTCTGAGTGGACGTCATATGACGTCCTCCCAGAACGCGCTCTCCTGCGTGCCCCAGGGGGCGTGCACCCGGCGATCTCTGTGATCGCTGTGTCCTACGGACACAGCTGATCACGTGATGTGGTAAAAGGCCAATCATACCGGCCTTTTACCACGTGATCAGCGGTGTCCAATGACACGCTGATCACAGGGAAATGCAAGTGTTGGTTCTCGGCTGCACTTTCCTCACGCTGTCAGATCATGAGGAAAGTACTGTCGAGAACCGGCAGTTGTCAGAGCGGGGATCGGCACCGATCATCAGGGCACTGATGATCAGTGCCCTGATGATCGGTGCCCAGCAATGCCACCTGCAAGTTCCGCCCACCTGTGCCCAGCAGTGCACCCACTTGCTCCGCCCACCTGTGCCCAGCAGATCACCCACCTGTGCCCAGCAGTGCACCCACCTGTGCCCAGCAGTGCACCCACCTGTGCCACTCTGCAGTGTCACACACCTGTGCCCAGAAATGCCACCTACCTGTGCCCAGCAGTGCCACCCACCTGTGCCCACCCACCTGTGCCCACCAGTGCCACCCACCTGTGCCCACCCACCAGTGCTGCCAACCAGTGCCACCCACCAGTGCAGCCCAGCAGTGCTGCCAGTCAGTGCCACCAGTCAGTGCCCAGGGGTTGTGCCAGTCAGTGCCACCAGTCAGTGCCTAGCAGTGATGCCAGTCAGTGCCGTCTCTCAGTACCCATCATCAGTGTCACCTATCAGTGCCGCCTATCAGTGCTGCATATTAGTGCCGCCTATCTGTGACACCTCATTAGTGCTGTCTATCAGTGCCGCCTATCCGTGCCACCTCATTAGTACTGCCTATCAGTGCCCTTTAGTGCTGCCTATCAGTGCCCATCAGTGCCGCCTATCAGTGCCCATCAGTGCTGCCTCATCAACACAGATCAGTGAAGGAGAAAAAATACCTGTTTGAAAAATTTTATAATAGAAACAAAGAAACTTTTTTTTTTCAAATTTTTTGCACTTTTTTAATTTATAGCGCAAAAAGTAAAGCACCCAGTGGCGATTAAATACCACCAAAAGAAAGCTCTATTTGTGAGAAACAAATGATCAAAATTTCATATGGGTACAATGTTGCATGACTGCGCAATTGTCAATCAAAGTGCGGCAGTGCTGAAAGCTGAAAATTGGCCTGGTAAATAAGGGGGTATAAGTGCCTGGTAGGCAAGTGGTTAATATAGAAAGGTGTATGACACAAATGACTGGATAACTTAGGCACCATTGACCTAGTACCAAATCCAATCATTAGCGCCATCTTGTGCTCAATATATAAATGGCAGCAAATACATAATACATTAATAAGCATAATTACAACCATACAATGATTGATTGATATGAGCCTAAATAATACATATACATTAAATCACCTAAATAATATCATAAAAACAAAAAACTAAATTACACATAAACTGAATAAATTAAAATACATTAAAATTAAAGTTAAATTAAAAATCACTAATAAAACAATTTAAATCACGTTCGACAATTAAACCATTCGGAGATAATGCTTCAGTCATATATATCCATCTGGTCTCACATTTAAGTAATTCCCTAATCCTATTTGACCCTCTCCAGGCCCTAGGGACAGATTTTATAGCCCAAAATTTAATAACAGTAAGATCACAATTGTTAGATTTTTTTAAATGCATGGATACACTATGATATTTGTAGCCCTTCATTATATTTTTCAGATGTTCAAGTATTCTAACTTTTAAATGTCTCTTTATTCTCCCAATGTAAATGAGACCACAGGGACATTCTAAGGCATAAACTACATGAGTGGTTTCACAAGTCAAAAATGCAGATATATCAAACTCTCTTCCATTAGATTTGGATTTAAATTTTGTTAATCCTTTAAATTTATTATTCACTATACGACAGGCAGAACATTTCTTACAATAATAAAATCTTTTTTTATTCCAAAACATTCCCACTTGTTTGGGTGGATCCAAATTTTTATGAACTACTTTATCCCCTATAGTTGGAGCCTTTCTATATATAAACATAGGTCTATCAGGAATGATTTTACCTAATACTTTATCCATCTTCAAGACATGCCAATGTTTTTGAAAAATATGCTCAACATCTTTATACTGTGTGTGAAAATTCGAGATGAAACCCCATTGGGGTTCATCATCTGATTCTAATTTTGGTTACTCATTCAAGAATTGTTCTATCGGGATCCTATACACTTCCTTAACTGTATCCTGAAGGTTCTTTTGTTTATGAGCTTTATCTGTAAACCTATTGACAATAATGTCAGATTGAGACAAAAAAATCACTGTCCCGGGTCTCTGCCTCCTCATTGGCTGAGACAGCAAGTGGGAGCCATTGGCTCCTGCTGCTGTCAATCACACCTAGTCAGCCAATGAGGGAGGGCGGGGCCAAGCTGTGGCTCCATGTGTGAATTGAGAAACGGAGCAGCAGGTGCCCCCATAGCAAGCTTCTTGCTGTGGGGGCACCCGACAGGTGGGAGGGGCCAGAAGAGCCTCGGGGGGGCCTGAGAAGAGGAGGATCCAGGCTGCTCTGTGCAAAACCACTGCACATAGTAGGTAAGTATAGACATGTATGTTATTTTCCAAAAATAAAAAATGAACCTTTAGAATCACTTAAAGGCAAATAGGTTGTGCACGCTGCAAGAGCAGTTGCTCCAGAGCTTAGTAAATGAGCAGAAGCTCTTCTGACTTCCATCATCCAATCACGTGCAAGCAAAAATGCAGGGTTTTTTTTTTTTCATTTTCCTTGAATGTGATTGGGTATTTTTTGCAAAGTGAAGTTTTACCTAATTTTCTAAGGTCTGGAGCAACTGCTCTTGCAGAGTGCACAGTCGCCTTTTGTAAATCAACCCCACCAAGTCAAGAAGTGTGTTACTGGCCAGATCACCACATGGAATTAAAGGTTAAAAAGCCTTCAAAAGAAAATGTTTTCAGCCATTGGGGTTTAAGCTCAGAAGTTTAAAGTTAGTGTTAAAATTGTGTTAAAATTCAAAAATATAATGGCTTACCTTTTTCCTGCATGTAATTGTACTTGGTGATAATGGCCTTCTCCAGGGACTCCTGTGATAGGAACGCAAGGTTCACTCACTTTGTATTAATGCAGGAGCAGTGTTGTTACCCTGTGCTGCATGCTTCCAAACACAACTGTAAGGTGACATGCCGTCACACATTGGGCATAGGGCACGTTAAACTGGAATCCCCAGGAACTCCTTCTGCACTGCCCTCAGCTATTTTAATTGACAGCAAAATGGCTTGGACAGCAGGGCCATGTGCCTAAATCTAAGGTACGCTCAGGCTGGAATGGTAGATGCCTGATACAGCCAAGGAGATGTACACAGAAAAAGTTAAGTTAAAAAGCTAAAAAACACTTTAAAAATGCAATAGTGATTAGTTAATGCAGGTATTTTAAATTAAACCTTTTTACATTTAGGTTTATTATAAATTTGAATTAAAGTAAAAACTTTAATAATTTTACAGATGGATTTATAATGCCAAAAACAGATAAGAGCGACACCAAAGGGCACATTTGTGTGGTAAAAACAGCAAGACATATATTCATTAATGCGGTACATTGAAAACTGAGATTTAACCTACAGCAAGTAGGGATTTGTTAGCTAATTGGTATTATTATTTATTACAGGTATTTGTATAACACTATCAATTTAAGTGATGCTTTACATATAAATTGGTATAGTCACATCAGACCCTAGCCCTCAAGGATCTTAGAATCTAAGGTCCCTAACTCACATTCATACATACAAATACTAGGGCCAATTTAGACAGGAGCCAATTAACCTACCAACATCTTTGGAGTGTGAGAGGAAACCCATACATGCACATGGAGAACATGCAAACTCCAGGCAGGTAATGCTATGGTTGGGATTTGAACTGACAACCCTAGTACTGCTAGACAGATGTGCTTACAACTTAAGCATTGCACTGTCCATATCACTTGATATCATTTTTGTACTTTGTTACATGAACTCCAAAACAGACCACTAAGCACAAAATGAAAGAATGACATTAAAACTAAAGTTTTGATAGAAAAAAATGACTATTGCTTTATTGACCTAACCTACCTATAATGAAACACAGTATGTCCCCGGTTGTGCAGGCAGCTGAACCCTATTTCTATCATTCAACATGACGTTCATCATTCATTGAAGTACATACCAAATATTTGATAAAAATCCCACACATGAATATAAAAAAGAACTTACAAAATTAATAAAATATGGGAGTAAAAAAAGTATCTTGAATGATAAAGAAGCTAAATATTTAGTATCATCCACTTGTAGATTACCTATCATATACTCCATACCCAAAATACACAAAGATAATATAAATCCTCCAATAAGACCAATCATTAATGGTATTAATTCACTTACAGCAAGGCTAGGAGAATATATAAACCAATATCTTCAGCCATTAGTAGAACAAACTAAAGCGTATCTGAAAGATACTAGACATATTATATTACTTACACAAGATCTACACATTAATGAAAACACACAACTGAGTACAGCGGATGTCTCATTGCTCTATACGATTATAGATCACGAGGGAGCCATAAAAGCGGCAAAATGGGCTCTAAATAAGTACTCTTCCCTACATATAAAACAACAAAAATATCTAATAAAATGCCTAGAATTCTGTTTAAACCATAACTATTTTTGGTATCAAAATAATTACTACCTACAGGTGAAAGCGGTGGCTATGGGCGCTCGTTTCGCCCCGAGTATAGCGAATTTGTATATGGCACAATGGGAAGAGGAAGAAATTTTTCAAAATCAGAGAAAAGATATATTATTATATCATAGATTTATAGATGATCTGATAATAATATGGAATGGAGACGAAACAACATTATCTAAATATTATGAAGACCTAAATAAGAATGACAGAAATATCACGCTGGAACATAAGTAATAAGGAGGTAAATTTTCTAGACATATGGTTGATAAATAATGGTTCCCGTATATATACAAAAAATTATTAAAAAAAAAAACAATAGAAACGCATGTATATCCACCAATAGCTGTCACTACAAACCCAGGATTAAAAATATCCCAAGAGGACAGTTTATGCGTCTGAGACTAAACTGTACTAATCTCACAGATTATAGGGAACAAAGTAATATTCTAACGAAAAGGTTTATTGATAAAGGGTATAGGAGTGAAGAAATACAGCAAGAGAAAAAACAAATATAATTACTAGATAGAAAAATTCTTTTGGAAAATAATAAAAAGATAAACACGGAAAGTACGAATGTATCTATGATAATGCCATTTAACAAACAATTTAGGGGTATACAAAAAATTATCAACAAACATTGGAATGTATTAAAATTAGACAAGGATCTAAAGAACATCATACGAGATAAACTGAGGTTTATATATAAAAAAGCCCCAAATATTAGAGATAAAATAGTTAAAAATATTCTAGATCCACCAAGCATGAGTAATACATATACATTCTTTCAGGGTGTTGGTTTTTACCCATGCGGTAGGTGTTATTGCTGCAGAAGAACTAAGAGTAATCCTAAACGCAGGTCACAGTTCCAAAATCCTAGTAATGGTAAAACCT